AAGAAAAGATCACTGAAAAATAACAAGAAACCCTAGAAACAACAATTCAACAGCTGCAAGACAATGCAAAAGAAAAATAGTTTATTATTGATAGCTGCCAGCAAAAATGCAGGAGTCAATACAAGTGACTTAAAAAGACTATTTACAGAAGTGATGGCAGAAAACTTCTCCAGCTTAGAAAAAGGACCTGACATGCAGATAAGCAAGGCATCTAGAACTCCAACTAGCCATAACCAAATTAATCTACACCCATAAAATAATAAAGATCCCAGAAATTTATCACAAGGAAAGAATATTAAAAACTTTTAGAAAAAAGAAACTGATCACCTATAAAGAAAATCCATCAGAGTCATGACAGACTTTACAACAGAAACCATCAAGTTAAGAAGAGTTTATAGTAAAACTACTATAATAAAATCAACATGGTACTGGAATAAAAACAGACTGAAGATCAATGGAATAGATTAGAAGATACAGCTACAACTACAAACACACTCAGTCACCTTAATTTTCATAAAGGGACCAAAAACATCCAATGAAAGAAAGACAGTCTGTTTAATAAATGGTCCTGGAAAAATTGGCTGTCAATATGCCAAAAACTAAAACTAGACCCATGCCTTTCACCATAAACTAAACTAAAGTCTAAATGGATCAATGATATAAATATTAAAACATAAACAGTAAATCTTTTGAAGACAAAGTAGGCAAAAATTTGAAGACATAGAGGTAGGTAGAAAATTCATGAACAAGAATCAAATTACATGGGAAATACTTCCCAGAATCAATAACTGGGATCATGTCTTATTAAAGAGTTTCTGCATCTCAAAAGAAATCCCACAATCTGGTAAAAATCTTAGTGAACAAAGGACCTCTGTGTAGAACATATAAAGAATTAAAAAAATCAGACATCTGAAATTCAAAGACCCAATCCAAAAATAGGCATCTGATAGGAATGCACAGTCCTCAGAGAAGAAATACAAATGGCAAATAAATACATGAAAAATGTTCATCATTAGTCATTAGAGAAATGCAAATTAAAACAACACTGAGACTCCATCTCACTCGTGAAAGAATGGCCAGGATCAAGAAAACCAACAACAAATGCTGGAGAGGCTGTGGGAAAAAAGGAACTCTCCTACACTGTTGGTGGGAGTGTAGACTGGCACCACCTTTGTGGAGGTCAGTCTGGAGATTCCTCAAAAAGCTGAGATTGGAAGTCCCATTCGACCCAGCTGTTCTACTTCTAGGCCTATTCCCCGAAGAATGGAAAACATCACACCACAGTGATATATGTGCACCCATGTTTATAAGGTATGCTCAACTATTTCAAAGAAAAGAGACATTATGGTAGCTACTGTTGATATCCAGTTGTCTTGTGAAGTACCATGTTGTAGCATTGTTTTGTTCTTACTTGCTTTGTTCTGTTCTCTTTTGTTTTATTCTTTTTAAAATAAAAAAACAAGAGCTTGTAGTGTAGTATTTCAAGGTCTGAAAGAAAACAACTTCCACACCATATTGATGTACTCTGCAAAACTATCTTTCAAAATTATTGGACAAATAAAATACTTCCATGAAAAACACCAACTGAAGGAGCTCATGACCACCAAGCCAATACTGTGAAGAGTACTAAATGATATTCTAGAGAGACAGATAGATGACCATAATTCCAGGAACAGCAAAAACAGGGGATAGAAATTGAATGGAGAGGAAAGGGAAGGGGCCATTATCAGGAAAACAGCATGGCAGAGACAAGCTGGTACATATTGGTCATAACCATTAATGTAGATGGGTTGAATTCAACAATAAAAAGAAACACATGAAGAATGGATTAAGAAACAAGATCCATTAATATGCTGTGTACAAGAAACACATTTAACTTGAAAGAAGATTCATAGACCTAAAGCCAAAGGAGAGAAAACAATGCTCCACACAACCAGGAACCTGCTAAAACAGGGGTAGATTTCCCATCAAGTGCAGAATGGATAAGAATGATGTGGCACTTCTATAGAATGGAAATCTACTCAGATATGAAGAAGAATAATCTTGAGCCTCTTGTAGGTGAATGAGCACAACTTGAGTTCATGCTCATGAGTGAAATGATTTGGACTTAAGTGGGTGCACATGGTGTTGTCTCCCTAGGATTAAAAAACCGAGTGAGTTATTGGGATCCAAAATGTACAACAGATATTGTGAAAGAGAAAGGGGTGGAAATGGCTAAAAATGGGAGGAATAACTGGGATGTGAGAAAGGAACAAAGAAAGAAAGAATGGAAAATATTATCTATAATACATATATGTGTATATATTTGTGCTCCTGTTAGTGTATTATGTATATATTTATACTTATATACTATAGAGTATATAGACACAGTATACTATATATAGTATACTATGTCACTATTGAACCTCTCAAATTCCCCTTAGCAATATCATGCAAGTCATATATTACAAATCTTGAGGTGATCACATCTACTTCAATTTTCAAGATTTTTGTGGGAATAATCAGACATTTAGGACATCATATTATATATTTTCATATATAATAATACTATAGATAGTATACTATGTCATATACTGTATTATACTACAGTATACTGTACTATATAGTATATAGTATACTATGTATTATGCTATATTATATATAGTATACGATTAATATATTATATAGTGTGTATATAGTATAATAGTATATATGATATATAAATGTATATATGATAAACATATATGTAGTACAGTGGTATATGTATATTATATATATATATATATATAATACACCAAGAGAACAAATACATAATCTCTCTCTATAATATATATATGAAAATTATATTATTAATTTCCGGTAGTTCAACAAAAAAATGGCTTGAGCTTTCATTGTTTGAACAGTTTTTCAGTATATGTAACACATTAATCATTGTTAATTCCTTTATAGTCTGTTTTGAAATACTGTATCATCATTTTCACACTTTTTCTTTGCTCATTTTAAAATAAAAAATGTAAAACTCAAATGGAGATGACTCTAATTCTTGGTGTGGTGAGTAATTTTAAGCTGAAACTGGACATCTGGGCACTATGTTTTGAGACCTCAGCTCTTACTGCAGCCTCATGTCTCCTTGAATGCTCTGACATTTTCCTGGCACGGGGAGGCTGAGGTCCACCTCACTGCTCTCAGGGGCTGCCCAGCCCCAGCCAAATCTCTCAAATTCCTTTCAGCAACGTCATGCACATGGAATTTTACAAATCCTGAGGTGATTGTATCTACTTCAGTTTTCAAGTTTTTATGGGAATAATCAGACACTTAGGAGCTCATATTAATATATTTTCATATATAATACGTGAATAGTTATGGTGCTAAATCCCAATGTTTTATTCTTATTACTCATGGTAATCATTTTCTATTTCCAACAGTGCTGAATTAGCAGCCACCAGTGATCTAGAGGGACAATGTTCTCTAGCTGGCTTTCTTACATCTTCTCCAATGGTGTCCTTGGTGCTGTCCCCTGGCCCCAATGGATCTGGGTTGGTATCAAGAGACAGTTGAATGGGAAACATAAGTCAAGTAGGTTCCTACCACCTCCATTTCTGCTCCTGTTGGTGTACTATCTGGCGGGCAGGTGGAATCACCAGTCCAGTGCCCTAGACTACATTTTAGAAAAATCATGGGTAAATAATGGGCTAGTTGTAGTGAGAATCCATTGTCCCTTGTTCTGCTCTAGACTTTTCTCCCAGAAAGTCACCCCTTACTGGTGCAGGACCAGGATGGGAACCTGGGGGCACAAGGAGGGCAGGACAGCTGCTCGGGATTTCAAGTGAGCCCACTCCCAAGTGCGCCAAAGGACCAAGGTTTGTGCTCTGCTTTCTTTTCCTCGATTTCAACAGGTGAGATTTCACTGCAATATCTCTTTGGTTTTTTCCCAGACATGAGAAGGGAATTCACTGAAGAGGAAAGACTTGCCAATGAGATGCACATATTAAAATTTTCACTCAGACAATTTAAGAACAGCTCCAATGTGAGTGTTTACTTACATTTTAGCTGCATAGAGCATTATCCCTCTGGGTTATTGGAAGTGTGAAGGAGCAGGGACTAGAGCTCTGGGCACTGTGAGCTGACTGTGATGAGCTGTGGCCCTTGAATGACCCCACTACCTCGCCACCCACCCGTGGTGTGACTAGAACATCTTGCCTAGAACATTCCTTGGTTGTGATTTGAAACACTTGTCACCCCCTGAGCTTATCTCTCACCCAAAAAGCAAGAGTATTTGGCTTGGCTCAGTGAGACAGCAGAGTCAGAGATCTGAGATAACACCAGTTGATCAAAATGACAAGTCTCATATAAGAATTTTATGATTTAAGGGGAAGAAGAGAATATTTCTTCTACTAAGGTAAGCAATAAAGGGGGTCAGAAAGAATCAGAAAACCATTGTTAGAGGGAAGGGATGTAGACTATCTTACTGCTTAATGCCAAGCATCCTTTAAATTATGGACTGAAGGTTCTAAGCATAGAATACCTCTCTTGACTGACCACTTAACAGAGAAAAACACATCTCTTACATTGACCTACCTCAGGCTATATGTCAAAATGACCCGGAGATAGGACAGAATTCCGTACCATTGTGTGTGTGTGCATATGTTTGTGAAAGTGTGTGCGCATGTGTGTGTATATGGTATTGAGGATTGAACCATGACCTAATGAATGTTAAGTAAGTACTGTGCCACCTGCTATGCACAGTCAGCTACAGTGTGTTTGCTCTGCAGTTATAGTTTTCCTTTCAGATAACTGAAGAACATTTGTTACTTGGCAATATACTATATAGGAAAATGAGTAATACTGTTAAAATTGCACTAACTATATGCACATTTCTTATTTATGAAACAAATTTTTTTTAAAAATAGCAAGCAAATCCAAATGCAATGTTGAGGTTATTTTATGTGTTTGATAAAAAAATGTTCTGCATTTTTCAGCGAGGAAACTTCCATGTATTTCAGTGGAAATAGATTGAAGAAATGCAAAAGCAAATCCAGGCAGAAGAGAACAGCACAGCAGTCCTGGAGTTCACCCTGGAGGGCTTCCCTGCAGTCCAGCACCTGGGGAAGGTCCTCTTCCTGCTGCACCTGCTGGCCTACCTGGCCTCTGTCACGGGGAACTCGCTCATCATCACCATCACCTGGGCTGACCGCCGCCTCCACACCCCTATGTACTTCTTCCTCAGCACTTTCTCCTTCTGTGAATGTGGTTTCATCACCACGGTTATTCCTAAACTCCTGACCATCTTTCTGTCAGGGAGACAGACGATTTCCTTTGCTGCCTGCTTCACACAAGCATTTGCTTTCGTTTTCCTGGGTGCAACTATTTTTTTCCTGATGGCCATCATGTCCCTGGATCGATTCCTGGCCATCTGCAAACCTCTGCACTACCCCACCATCATGAACACAAGGACGTGCATCCTGCTGGTCACTGCCTGATTCTGTTTGGGATTTCTGCTTATGGTGATTCCGGTCATAAAGCTGTCCCAGCTGTCCTTCTGTGGCCCCAATGTCATTCCTCACTTCCTCTGTGATTTGGGACCCTTGACAAGGCTCTCCTGTCCTGAAAGCAGATCTATTGAAATGTTGTTCTACAACCACGCCTTTGTTATCATTTTCACATCCTTCCTCATCACTGTCCTCGCCTACAGCAACATAGTGTTCACGATCCTGCGCCTCCCATCAGCTAAGGAGCGGAAGAAAGCCTTCTCCACGTGCTCCTCTCACCTCATTGTCCTCTCTCTGATGTATGGCAGCTGCGCCTTCATCTATGTGAAGCCAAAGAGAATGAGCAGACTGGACAACAACCGAGAGGCTGCTCTGGTGAACACGGTGGTGACCCCTCTGCTGAACCCCGTCATCTACACCCTGCGTAACAAGCAGGTGCACCAGGCACTGAGGGACGCTCTGTCCAAGGTGAAGCTTCAGAAATAGAATCAAAACATTTTAATGGAGGAATTCACCTTCCATTCCACTGAACAAAATAGTTTTCTATTTCTAGGTTCATACTCTGAACTTTTAGATGATGTCAATTTTTTTTAGGTTCTGCTTTTTAATCCACGGAATCATGGTCAATGTATTCAGTCACCCAATCTTAAAGCTCTAATAATTTTCTTCATATTGTTATGAAAATATCTTCCTGAATCATTTCGTTAACTTGAAAGCAATCACATTCAATGCATTTATTAAAGGGTCTATTATACACATATTTGTTTGATATATTGTTTCAAAACCTTAAGTCTGTGGTTCAAATATGCACCTGTGATGAGAGCATGGAGTGGAGAAAGACATTCATGAACACTGAGGATTGCAGAGAGCTCCAAAGAAGATGTAATGTGTCAGCTTATAGAATTGTAGAGGGTGGCAACGTATTCCTTAAAATGATTCAGTACTACTGTTTTAAAGGTTGCATATTTGATATACAGATACTAATTTTTTAAAATTTTATTTAAGGAGAAAAAAAAGCAGAGAAAGGGTACAAGTTATACAGATTTACAGAGAAAAAAAAATAAACAGTAGGAAATCACTAGTTAATGGATTACATATTGTCATCTTAGAAATAATTGTTCAAGTCACAAAATTAAAGCTTGTAAAGTGGACATTCCAACAATGATACTGCAAACAGTTCTGTTCAATGATCCAATAAAACTCAGTGATATCATTTTCTGTCTTATACACTTAAATATACATGCAGTTATATAGTTTAGAGCACTTTCTTTTCCTGTCTTTTGTACAATGACTATTACACATTTTGGGTTTCATTGCTCCCACGGTTCTTATTACTTTTTTGGAAGAGAGTAAAACCAAATGTGACATAACAGAACAGAGTCGGTCAAGTCAAAAGGGTGGACATAATAGATAATGTAAAAACATAATACAAGCTGATCAACAGTGGTTACCATAATGCCTCCCGCTATCTCTAATAGAATTGCCTATATCATTAGTTATAATACAATTGAACAAAACAGTAAAGAACAAAACCGACAAAACCAAACCATTGGAGACATTGTAGGTCTTCAAAAGTAGATAAAAGTCAACGAGAATGGGCGTTATAATGAATCTCATTATCTTCACAGTTGATGCCTAAACTTTCGAACCTGATACTATCCAGCAAAACAGAATAGGGGAACATCAGTCAAAAACAAGATGGTGAGAGTAATACAGGGCTTTAAATCGAGATAATGGAAAGTCAAAGTGGGTTACTATAATATATCCTGCTATTTTTATTTATTTTTCCATTAATTAAAAGGATAAAAATAAAAAAGTAAATAATGGAGTGGAGATTGAGATAAAAGAGGGCATAACAGCAAAACAGCGCAGATCAAAACATAACCATTTAAGCAGAATACTGTTTCACCACCAGATAATCCTGACATAAAAGTAGTTACCATATTGTCTCTTTCCTTGAAATCCTTGAGTACAACTTCGTATACTGTAGCATTAAATATATCAAAACAGTGTAAAACCATTTAAGAGAATGACAGCATTACAGGGTATTTAGAATCGACTAACAGAAAATGAACAATGGTTTCTGTATAATCTCCTTGTCTTTAAAAGGTTTTTGCTTATACTATCGTACATAATAAAATCTAATAAGATACAACCTATTTAGACCAATGGAGACAGAAGAACAAAAGCTTGATGAGACTTCAAAACAAGATGATACTAAATCAGTATTACCTATTAAGGTGTCATTTTCTCCAAAATAGCTGTTCCTATCATCCAATCTTCTCTGCCTCATTTCTGTTGAGCTCTTTTTCTGTCAGTAGCTGTCAGTTTGTCTTCTTCATTTTGTTCTCTGCTCCATTCGTTGTGGCTTCCCCGCCACTATTTCTGGATTCTTTGTATTTTTCTTTTTTTAGAATATCCTGCAATACTCTCTGTAGAGTTGAATTGGTGGTTGCAAACTCCCCCAGTTCCTCTTTATCCTGGAAGCACCTTGTTTTTCCATCAATTTCCAGGGACAGTTGTGCAGGATATCTCAATCTTGGCTGGAGATTATTATCTTTCAAAGCTTGAATTACTTCCCCCCACACTCTTCGTGATTTGATGGTTTGTGCAGAGAAATCTGCTGTAATTTTGATGGGTGTTCCCTTGTAAGTGGTCTGTTTCTTGTCTCTGACAGCTTTTAATATTCTGTTCTTGTATTGAATTTCTGGAATTTTTATTATTATATGCCTGGGTGTTGTTCTGTTTGGTTTGTAGGTATCTGGGGTCCTGTATGCCTCATACATCTGAGTATCTTTACCTTTTGCTAAATTAGGAAAATTCTCCTGGATTATTTCTGTGAGTAGCTTTTGTAGTTCATTTGTTTGTGTCCCTACTTCTTCTTTTATGTTCTTAATCCTTAAGTTGTGGATCCTCTTATCATCTTCTTGTCTTTGTATTATTGCTGTTTGTTTCTTTGTTATTTTTAAGAAGTTTTTCATTTCATTCTCCCATATTAAAAATCTGCCCTCCAGTTCAGATAGTCTGTCCTTAGTTTCTTTCAAGCTGTTATGCCAGTTTTCGATAGACTTCTTAGTTTCTTGGTAGTCCCTTTAAACCTGCTTCACTTATTCTATGCTTTCTCTGTTTTCTCCATCAAACAATTCTCCACTCTTTTTCTGTTCTTCCATTCCACCATCTGTTTTTTCTTGGGTGGTGCTTAGCATTTCTCTAACTATTCTGCATAGCTTCAGGTCATTGATAATTTCATTCCTGAACTGATCTATGAGGCTCTCTAGATGGCGCTTTATGTCTATTGGTGCGGTGTCCGCTATTACTTGTTTCTCAGAATTGGGGGCCAAGGAGCCTTTCTTGTTGCTGCCTTTTCCCATATTCTTTTTTCTTATATATGCAAGCTTACATAGGAGGCCCAGCTTCTCTCCCTGTCAGCCACAGCCTGATCGAATTGCGCTGGTTAGGTGTTCCCACCCACCGCAGCACACCAGGAAGTTCCAGACCAGGCAGCCTATGCAGGCCTGCCCCTCCCAGCCACGGTCAGGCTCTGGGATCTGGATTGGGCTAGCCTACTGGGTCCGCCAGCAGTGTCACGTAGGCTAGGCACTTTTCACCAATCCTGCCTGAGAGGGGGATGTGTGGCTGAAGTCACCACCGCGCCCTGCTCCCGCAGGACTGCCCGGGCCCAGAATGTCCTCCGCTGGAGTCAAACTGTGGTAGAGTGTCAGTTTCTCTCACTCACCTCACCACAAGTCAGTGCATGCCTCCCTGCCTGTCCTGTTTTCGACTCCGTTCGAAGATTCCCGTTCTCAGAGCTTCTGCGTGTCTCTCTCCTTGCCGAGCTGATGTAGAGGCAGCCGCCTGCGCAGCGGGAAACCCAAATCGCTGCTTCCAATGGTGCAGGCTCCAGCCTCCACACTGAGGCTTTTCTGTTCCTGTTTTAGCACCAGGACTGCGTTCCAAGTTGGTTTCTCTCAGCCCAGTTCATTCCTGAGTCAGCAGAGCATATCTCCACCAGCTTATGTCTCCTTACTCCGCACCCTTCCTGACTTCTGAGCCGAGTCTTTCAGAGAGCCTCTGTAGTAGCTGTTATCTGTCCATCATATTCTCCCAGAAGCGCACAGATACTAATTTTTACAAGTACACTTCCACTTTGATGGAAATATATGATGTGTCCAGATGAAATTGAAAGTCTTGATTAATTTGTCTGTCAAACAGGACAGAATTTCAAATAAACACAAATGACCAATTGGAAATGGGATTTATAAGAAGGAATTGAATATTTTTCATTGTTTCCTTGCCACAGAAAATTTCAAGAAGTTAAGATAGTTCAAATAAGAAATGAAAAGAATGCTAATTGGGCTTATAACGTCTCTGCAGAGGGATCTGCGAGTGAGTCTCTACATCAGTGGAGTAGAGGCTTGGGTGTGATCATTTCTGGTGTCATTTTCAGGCTGATATGAAATCATAGTCCAGATTGACACAAGCACAGTGTGAACATGTCCGATAGGAAAATCGTGGTCTTTCTAATGGAAAAGTCTTGTTACGGCTGTGACTGTGTTTCGTTATTAAAGAGTATGCTGCAAAATGTGGAACCTGAGACAAAATTGTGCACAAGAGCTTGTTTGGCATGGGTGGTTGAAGGCATGTATGTCATTTGGCTTTGCGGCATTGTTCTGTGAGATAGGGAAACATGAATGGCTGTGTTGGGGAGATTCTGGGATCATAAATATGAAAGAATTTGAAGAATAGGTGACTCAACGAACAGAATATATAGTTTTGTATATTCTTATTGTGCTTAAGTATAGCTATAAAACATTATGTAAATTAGTGTTTTTCCCCTCACACTGGGATATTTGTTTTGCTAATGTAATTTATCCACTAGTTACTTTCTTTGCCCAAATGACCAGTGATCTGTGTGGTCCCTGCTTTTTTGAGGTCCTTAAAATTTGAAATTTTAATGGTAGATATTGGAAACCTGACTAGGAATAAATGGATAAAATATACAATTTAAAGAAATACATAATTTAAAATAATTGCTTCTATGTTATTAGCACAACTTATGCCACAATTTGATATACTACAGCTATACTACAATTTGTTTATCCATGATTCTATTGACAACTTTGAGCAGTTTCCATCTTTGGGCACTGTGACTAATCCTGTTGTGTTTATGTATTTGCTTGAATACTTACATGTAATTCTACTGGACTATGAAAGGGATTGTGAGGGCAGAAAGCACTCACTGGGCAAGAGGTTTCCTTTGGGGTGACAGACATATAGGTAGTTTCCATTTTTGACTGTTGTGAGTTGTACTGCAGTGATCATCTTTGTGCATGCAGTTGCTTGAGTACCAGTTTTAATTTTTTCATAACTGAAAGAAATTTTAGTTCTTTTATAAACTAGAATAGGAACTGTGAAGGGAGGACTTGGGAGCACCTGACTGGAGGTTGAGTGATCTCCTTTTAGCTGGTGAAAATTCTTTGCAGCCA